ATAATATTGTATTATAGTTATTATATTCGAGTTGTCTGGAACGCAGCATTAGGTTAACATTTCAATAAACGCGCGTGTACTACAATTACGAGCCATTCTATAATGTGACATTTCAGCACTTGACAAACGGATAGCGACTCCTAAGTAGCACTTAAAGCACGGCTACGTGCGATTGTGTTACGTGCATTTTTGGGAAACGCACGTGAAACAATAACGAACGATCGTAAAATCTCGTAGAAACTCGTAGAAAACGCTCTTAAGCGCTGAGATCAATCGTTATCGAGAAACGCAGCCCAGACTGGTAATCATTAGGCTACTGCTGTCTTAAATATCGCTCATCTTCGCTATGGTGCAGTGGACAAAGGGATATTCTACATTGTCTTTTGTGGATTTCACTCATGCACACTAAACAAACAAGTAAAGGTATCAAGTAAAGCTGGCAAAACCTGTTATTTCACCGAACTCCGAAATTGGATGAGTATGAGGATTAAGTAAACTCACAATAAGTTATTTTTAGTGAATCCTTGTGAAAAAGAACGGCCATTATTGTACTGAATGTGTAGGCCTACTTGTAGTGTACTTCAATTCTTAGAACTATTAAAAAACTGTATTTGCAAAAAATATTAGTGAAATTAAAAAAAACTAGGCTACTAGCCTACTTAATGAGTACACTTTCATTACTTAGGTATGAACACTTTTTAAAAATGCACTTTTAGTTTACCATAAATGCTTGTCATCACTGCAGTACACTTTAACCATATTTCAAAGACAATTATTCAGTTACAGTGTTGGGAAGGTTACTTTTGAAATGTAATAGGTTACAGATTACAAGTTACCCTATTTAAAATGTAATAAATTGTAACTATTTCAATTACTTTATTAAAGTAATGTAACTACATTCCATTTGATGACTTTTTGATACTTTTCTCAATTTAAATTTCGAATTTTCTCTAAATTTTTCTAAATTGTTAATCATTTTAAAACATTTAAAGCAGGCAGGGTTAACAGTAGCCTACTCAACACTGATTACTGTCAAAATCTTTCAAAAATCAAAAATCAAAATTTTTCATAAGTAACTGTAATGTAATTACACATTTTTCTTAGTAACTGTAACAGATTTACATTTATTTTGTAATTTAATAACGTAATTCTGTTACATGTAACAACCCTTCAATTACATATAAATATATGCTACTTAAGTGCTGTAAGTTGCTCAAAAACACTCTTAAGTTCAATTTGTATTTATAATATATATATACATATATATATATATAAATTGAAACTATAACAGATTTCCATTCTAATGCACATTACAAGTGTCCTAAGATATTACATTGTTCATATTTTAATAACATAAATGTGTATTTCTTTTCGCAAGGGAAGGCACTTTAATTTAGGATATCGCCCTACTCTTCCCATAGCAACAGCAGCGAGATGACGTGGGAAGGTAGCGGTTCAAACTCTTCGCATTTTACTAGGATAGAAATCAAGTGTTGCGAACAGCTATCAAGATCAATGATGCTTCTGAGAGTGAAATAAACAGCAAGACGCCTAAAAAGTTTACATACAACCTACATATCAGCATCACACTCTCTCACTCTCTCTCTCTCTCTCTCTCTTTCTCTCTCTCACACACACACACACGCTCAAGCCATCACACTCGTCACACCCGCTCCGCGGAACCGCTGCTCACCGATTCTCACCGAACCGTAACATCCAAACAGCTCCAGCATGTCTTCAGAAGGATTAGGCGAGACTTTGGTGATTCGCTTCGGGCTGATAAACGCCGACAACAAATACCTGACAGCGGAGACGTTCGGTTTTAAAATCAACGCCTCGGCGAGCTCCATGAAGAAAAAGCAGGTGTGGACCCTGGAGCAGTCCGGTGACCACGGAGACTCCAATGCCGTGTTCATCAAAAGCCACCTGGGTCGCTACCTCGCCACCGACAAGGACGGCAACGTGACGGCGGACAGCGAGCAGCCCGGCCCGGACTGTCGGTTCCTCGTGATCGCCCACGACGACGGCCGGTGGTCCCTGCAGTCCGAGCCCCACTCGCGCTACCTGGGCGGGACCGAGGACCGGATCGCGTGCTTTGCGCAAAGCATCTCGCCTGCGGAGAAATGGAACGTGCACCTGGCCGTCCACCCTCAGGTGAACGTGTACAGCATCGCGCGCAAGCGGTACGCGCACCTGTGTGCCGAGAGGAGCGAGCTCGCCGTGGACCGCGACGTGCCGTGGGGCGTGGACTCGCTGCTCACGCTCGTCTACCTGGATCACCGGTATCACCTGCAGACCGCCGACAACCGCTTCCTCACGTGCAGCGGTGCCCTGACGGCCAAACCGGGCACGGGCACCGGGTTCACGTTGGAATTTCGCGCGGGGAAGGTGGCTTTCCGGGACGCCACGGGCAAATACATCGCGCCCACGGGCCCCACCGGGACCATGAAGTCTGGCAAGAGCGCGCGCGTCGGCAAATTTGAGCTGTTTGTCCTCGAGCAAAGTCACGGGCAAGTGGTGCTTACCGCCAGCAACGAGAGAAACATCTCCATGCGCCAGGGTGAGATGTGTGACTGCAGCATGCTGATTAATAAATAACGCTGTTAATAACGGTTATGCACCACATTTGGGCGAATATAGGGTGAGTTTAAGTGAAATGGGCTTTTGGATTTGGTAAATAATTTTGAGTTTAGTAGCCACTAAATGTGTCTGCACATTTTCTAGCCTGCTCTCTTTGTGCTCATTGTGAAACACTGCATGCATGGAGCTCAACTTAAGATTTTAAGATTCAGCCTTCACTGTAAAATTGGTGACCTGCAACTGTTTGTTACCTGCAAATTGCCTGATTTAAGCCATGGAATTTGCTTTTATTGGTATACATTTATGTATTTAGGATTTAGCTATATTATAGCCTATGACCTAAAACCAGTTAATTTAGATGTAACCATTTTTAGGTTACCGTTTTTCAGTGTTTGTAAAATGATTGTCCTGCCCATCTTGGGAAACTGCAAACAGTTATTTTACATGACAAATATGCATGCTATAGGCCAAACTGGCTCTGAGTTTTTGCCTCAAAATTAACATAAAGACTCTGGAAATCGGTGTGTGTGTGTGTGTGCGCGCACGCACATACAGAAAAGCATCGACTTAAATTTTAATGCAGAAGAGATTTTTAATTATAAAAAGTTATTATTATTATTATTATTATTATTATTATATTATAATAATAATAATTATAATATTATTTAATAGAAATCATTTGAAACAATATAGTTTAAAAAAAAAATCAGTTTAACATATTGCAGGATAAAAGTAATTTCTTTCCAAAAAAAAAAAAAAAACTTTACCCCAAACTTTTGAGTGGTAGTGTATATTGTGTATATTGCTACAAAAGATATGAATAAATGCTGTTCTAATATTAAGCAGCACAACTGTTTTTAATATTCATAATAAATCAGCATATTAGAATGATTTCTGAAATAAATTTGACCACTGGAATAAATTATATTTAAAAATATATTAAAATGTAAAACATTATTTTGAATTCTAATAATATTTCACAATATTACTGTTTTTATTGTATTTTTGATCAAATAAATGCAGCCAAAATAGACCTTTAAAAAACATCAAAACATTTTCTAATCCCAAACTTATGAAGGGTAATGTTGTTTAAGGGACTAAGTAAATTAAGAGCTCCTGAATGTAACAGATGCACATTTCACTTTTGTAGTACAGCTTTATGAAGATAAACAGTACATGTTCACAATATCTTTTGTTTAACTTCGCTCTCTAGTCTTTTGGCTGAAAACAAACTCTGACTGAATTACTATTTTTTAGGGGTTGATTTATCAGCCAATCAGGATGAGGAATCTGATCAGGAGGTGTTTCAGATGGAGATGGACAGGGAGACAAAGCGCTGTACCTTCCGATCTTGCAATGGGAAGTATTGGAGTCTCACCCCAAGTGGAGCGATCCAATGCTCTGCCTCCACTAAGTAAGAACAATTAACTGTACTTAACTAAGTTAGGAAAATGTCACATAGACGTAATAGGCACAGGGTAGAAAAGTAGATTAGCCAGTTTGAAAGATATTTGTGGAGTGAACCATATGGCAAGAGGAATTAATAAAGGCAATAGGGAATACAAATATAACAGCTCGCCTTGGATAGATGTTTGTTTGCATGGTCATCTGTTTACTCAAGTTGTTAAACAATTATATATCTATAAAGACTGCACATATAGTACACAAAAAGTACACAAGCTCAATTGTGCTCAATAAGACCAGAAATGTACATTGCTAAATTAAATTTGATTCTTTTTCATGTTGATTTTTAAGAAACTGACTGTTTATCCCAGATCCCCCAGTTGTTTCTTTGACCTTGAGTGGAAAGGGTCAAAAGTCGCACTGAAGGCCAGTAATGGTAAATACCTGGCAGCCAAAAAGAACGGACAGCTGGCGGCTGCTGTGGACTCCGCAGGTTTGTGTCTGAATGGCTAATTACAATTTTTGTCATGCTTGTGTAAATCAATAGCACCACACCTATCTTTCACATGTACAGTATGCTGTAGCCGGTGTTGTTTTGTTTAACAGGTGAGCAGGAGGAGTTTGTGTTGAAGCTCATCAACAGGCCATTGATTGTGCTGCGTGGGGAACACGGCTTTATTGGTTGCCGCAAACAAGGAACTGGAACACTTGATTCCAACCGCTCATCCTATGATGTCTTCCAGTTAGAGTACAACAACAATGCTTACAGCCTCAGAGGTGAGTGATAGTGCTACTACAATTCATGAAGATTTACTAACAGTTTTGATAGGATGTAAATAATTACTTAGGGCCCTATGAAATCTGTTTAAAAAAATGTTTCCTGTTTTATTTTTCCCAAATTTGGTTTTTCTGTTTACATTTTTCTGGATTTTATTTTAATGTTTAAACGATAAACAATAAAATAAAATGTAAATTATTTTAACGTTTAAATGTGTTCACAAATTCTGTTTTCTCATGTCATTGAAACCTGTATGACTTCTGTGGAGCATAAACGACAAAATTTTGAAGAATATTGGAGCCATTCAATTTTTACTGAATGGAATAAGAAAACCTTAAACATTTTTAATCTTAGAATTTTTTCATATATCTTTTCTAAAGATTTTTTTTTCTTAAATACATTTTTAGGTCCCTGTTTAATTTTTTCCCCCAAATTCCGTTTGATTTTTTCCCCTAATTTCTGTTGTTCTGTTATAATTTTTCTGGATTCATTTTTTTTGTCTGGAATTTATTTTAATGTTTAAATTACTTTTTTTTGTAATCAAAAAGCCTATGATATCTGTTTTAAATTTTCCCAAATTCTGGGCCATTAAGTTCTCATTAAAAAGGAAATTTTTAATTCTAGAAATTTTTAAAATATCTTTTCTAAGATACATAAATAAATGAAAATAAATAAATAAATAAATAAATAAATACTTTTTAGGGCCCTATGAAATCTGTTTAGTTTTTTTTTTTTTTTTTTTTTATCATTTTTCTGCAATCCAATTTAATGGTTTATTAAAATGTTAATAATCAAAATGCATGTGTAATCACGTAAATGTATAAAACTTTAACAATATAATGATTTCTTAACATTTATTCAATAATACAGTCCTAAAAATGTTTTTATTTTATTTATTTTTTTTCTCAGAAATTCTGTTGTCTGTTACTTACTATTTCTCTAATTTCTCTGGTCAGACTCAGTGGGGAAGTATTGGACGGTGGAGGCAGATGGCTCTGTCATCAGCAGCAGTGACACACCTGTCTATTTCCACTTTGAGTTCTGTGATTATAATAAAGTGGTCATTAAGACAAAGGAGGGCAAGTATCTTAAGGGAGACCATGCTGGGGTGCTCAAAGCCAGCGGTCAGGCGATTGCTGATGCAACATTGTGGGAATACTGAGAAACATTCAGCAATCTACACACACAAACAAACATGTGTGTTCTCTAAACCTATACTTAAACATAACACATTCTCTACAGCATAAGCACATGATAACATACAGTCCATATCACACAACATACAAAAATATCTCAACATAATCTAATGGATCAAGGCACAAAAACACATTTGAATGTATAAGTATAAGCAAATGCACAAATTAGCTTAAACTTTAAAACTCATTAAATTAAATAGTTCAGACAAAATTATGAATTCTGACATGATTTACTCATCCTCATATTATTGAAACCTGTACGACGTTTTTTTCTGTGCAGCATAAAAGACACTATTTTGAAGAACACTGGGGTGCAAACCCCCAAAAATGCATTGGACCCTTTTGATTTTTTATTTTATGAACAAAAATACAATTGAAGTCAAAGGGAGCCAATACTGTTTGGTTATCAGCGTTCTACAAAATATCTCATTTTGTGTTCAGCAGAAGAAAGAAATGGATACAGGTTTGGAACAACATAAGGGAGAATAAATGATGACAGAATTTTCATTTTTGGCTGAATTGTCCCTTTAAGAGAAGCACAAGCTGATGGTGTACTGATAAAATATTTGTAAAAACTGGATAATTGTCACACAAACTGTTGATGTTCTTTGCTCAAACTCAAGATAGCAGTAACACTTTAACATAAGCTTTCATTTGTTATCACATGAACTACAACACTTCTACAGTATTTATTAATCTTAGTTAATGTTAATTTGAACATTTACTAATACATTTTTTAAAATCATTATATGTATGTATTAACATTAGTTAATGCACTGTGAACTAACAAACGAACAGTAACTGTAATAACTTTTTAATAACTAACATTAACATTGATTAATAAATGTTAAATAAACATTATTTCATGTTATTTAATACATCAACTAATGTTAATAAATGTGACCTTATGTAAAGTGTTACCAAGATAACTGATTAATGGGGTGAAATTCTGTCATGAAATCTTGCAAAAATACGTTAACCAATTTAATGCACATAATGTAGGCTCATTCAAGTCATGATCATTGCCTCTCAAATGCTTTCATGGCCTTATTTCGCTCCTTATAATACCTGTTTCAAGGAAATTTAGAATCTAAATGTGCTATTACATAATGGTCAATAATTTGCTTATGCAAAATGGGCATACAGCCGTGTCTCATAAGCCGAGCCTTCGGCCATAGGGTTTGTTCCTGCTCCCAAAAACATTTTTAGAGTGAACTGGCTTCTGTAATGAGGCCAGGTTTTAAATAGCTACACCGTGGCTCAGAAAAACTGGAGAAAGATGCTTGTTCACATCAGAGAGATTCAGATTTCCTTACACTCACATACACAAGCACACAAAGTCATTTGTTTGTCAAATTGTTACTTGTGGTGTTTGTGGCTATTTTGGGTAACATGACTTGTATTCAGCATTATTCTGACTTCTGGAACAACAGTGTTTTTTAGCTTATTGATGATAACATGTTGATTTGCACTTTTTTCGGCTAAAGCTTTTTCATGTGAATGTGTTGAAAGAAAAAGACAAAGTGTTTGTGCCTTCCTTAGTGGGATAAGATCTCCTAAGGTGTGAAAATGCAGTTTTTTTTTAATTCATTTTTGAAATTCTCATTATGTGCCATTTGCAACTGGACATGACAATGAAATAAACAGAAAATGTCATAAAGTAAAAAGTGTGCTTTCAGTTTTTCTAAGAGAAGCAGGTTCATCTCACGTGTTAAACGATGATAAAAAAAAATTTAAGCAAATGTGAGTAGATTTAGTTTCTTCTTTCTCTTTCTTTGTCTTTCTCCATCGTATGCGCCTCTGCTCTGTTTATTAAAGCTGCAGTCCGTAACTTTTTTGTGTTCAAAATTTATATAATAAACGAGTACACCATGACTCCATTTTCCAAACAGTGTTTTTGGCTTGTCCTGAATCACTACGGTACACCTATAATAAGTGTTTATACTCGGACTATTTAGACTGGTTCGGGTAGGTACCGCTGCGGAGTAGCCCAGTACCTGCGTGATTCGCCATAGACATAAACAGAGAGAAGTAGCTCCGGCTACAATGTTCTTCCGCAAGATGCACGCAGTTCTGTTTATTAACCGCTAGAAAGCCCAAAGTTACTTTACCAGCTTTAACTATTTTCCTCTGAATTCTCTCCACCTCGACCTTGAAGGTTTTCCAATACTTTTGCGCTGACAGTGTGGCTCTGAATGAAACCGAAGAAGACTGCACCACACACACAACACACATAAGGATTTACTAATATCTAACAGATGTGACTATTCTATGTGGCAATAACAAAGAAATGTCTGCAGCTGCTTTCTGTGGGTTTTAGAGACTACAGCAACAACTGGAGAACAAATTATATGATGGAGAGATTTCACTTCAAATTGTGTTGCCGATAAACAAAGCGAGATGAGCTGAGAATTTATTTTTCGCAATATGAAAATATCCAGTAAACAAATGCCTTTCATGGTTTTTGATGGTCTGTGTGAGCTATATGTGTATGTATGGCTAAAAGACAGAATGACAAATTTCAGTTAATACCTACTATGTTAATAGATAGTAATCAAACTACTACTTCCAAAAATACAGTTGTGTGTGTAATTAACATCAGGGCAGCGGAAGACATGGAGGAACATGCAGAAAGTAAGTAAGTGACAGCGGGTCATGACTCAGAATGCTGCTGCCGCCTAGTGGTTACATTACTTCTTACGTTTCATCATCAAACATTTTAACATGCATTCACTTAAGCACACTACTAGGCTACACTTTTACATTTTATTAATGTGATAAACAAATATAGATCAAAATATATGAAAAATGAATTTGAAAGTATAATGAACTTTTTGGTTAAAGAGAGCAAAATCTATGACCTTGTATTTTTGAAGTACATGTGCACAGAATTGAGAACTTAAATTACATTTAATATATTTATATTTACATGTCACAAAGGTTATATGTCAGTAACTATAACGTTGGGTTAATAGTCCAATTGCACAAAGTTGAAACATTTAGTCACTTTACCTTTCGTTTATCATTTTATCTAATAATTTTACTAAATCTAGCAGAAAAGCATTTAAATAGTTGATAATACATTTTAGATGCAGATATGTCGCACTCAACATGGCTTTTTTAAACTTTACAGAGCATTTCATATTTCCAAAAATGTATCAGTGTCAAACCCAGAAAGCCTAGATTAAAAATTACATTTAAATATAATTTACATAGACAAATGTGAATTAAACATACAGAAATGGACATGGTGTAACAAAATAAGAATTTTATGAAATTACATAATGTGTGTACGAGTGAATCTGTTATGAAGAACATGCACATTATTTCCAGCGGTTGATCCTGCGCAACTGTATGTATGCAAACGTCATGCACACCAGTATAATGCCCAGAAGAGCCACCTGGTTCTGCCAGAAGCCCCACACACTGTAGTCGATCCCCTGAGACTGCAGATACATCTCTCCTGTTAGTCTGACCATGAGAAAGAAATCAAATACTGGTAAGTCAAAAACGTAATTGATGAATGGCTCAAAGAATATATTTTGTGTGAGGGGTAGAAATCTTTTGTAGCACGTCTGTACTAATCAATTTAATGCATGTCTTCTGAATAAAAGTATTGAAGAAAAAATCGAATCTAACTGACCCCAAGCTTTTGAATGGTAGTGTGTGCGTCTGTCATGATGCAAGAGGTCGAGTTATAAAATGTGTGACCTTAACTGAACTGTGATTACACGTTATCTACAGTTTGAGCAACTTACGTCGCATTGCCACTGTAGAAGACCTGCCCTTTCATTTCATTTATAGTCACAGCCTACAAAAGAACAAAACACAATAATCAGCACTTTTTAAACAATCTGATAAAGATGCATTAAAAAACCATATGATGCACTCTTTTAATTTAACAAAATTTTTTGCATTGCATTCTTTTCCTCCTCCTTACATCTAGTCCATATTTGAAGATACTGGCCCACTTGAGCCAGGACAGCCAGTTGAGCATGGAGTTGAGATTCACCAGGAACCCTCCAAACACCTGCAACAAAGACACCGAAAGAAAGAGCGAATAAGAAAGAGAGAATGGTACAAGAATGGAACTAGAACATACTGGTGACATTAGTGTGTATGTTTGAATTCTGACCATCATGAAGACAAAAGGCAAGGCAATGAGGACGTTGGCCATGGCGAATGTGCTCACGCTGGCACTGACAAGGAAGGCCAAGCTGACTCCTGCCAGACTGACCATGGACATGGTCAATGCAAAGCACAGGAAGGTCGTGAATGATGGATTCAACCCTGTTCACAAATATATATAGTATGTACACTTACTGTGCATATTCGTTTTATTTAGTATAGAATACATGCTACTGATAGTTTTAATGATGTGCCACATGTTTAGCATACTAATAATGTATTATGTGTGCTGCTAACCCATCATATAGTAAGAAATGCTGGAGAAGATGAAAATCGGCACAATGCGATTTGGTAACAGATCCACAAACACCTTGGACAGGAAATACACAGATGTACGGTAATATCCCCCAGAGTTCTCGTGCCTAAAACACACGCATATAAACAGACTTACTTGGTTTTGTAAAAGAAAAATGAATGAAAGGAAGTTTATTTTCATACATACAGAATCTGGACACATAATGTTGTTACTGTTAACCAAAACTAAAGCTAAAACTATGAAAAATCCTTTTTGTTAGTTGAAATAAATCTGAAATAAAATAAAATACAAATATTTTAACTAAACTTATAAAAAAAAACTGTACTAAAAATGGAAATTAGACATGTTGTCTTTGCAACAAACTGAAGTAAAATAAGTTTAAGTACTAAAACTACTGATACTGAAATAAAAAATAAATTAAAGCTAAAAATTAAAAATCAATAAAAATAAGCACATAAAGTTAATAAAAACTTAAATTAAAATAAAATATATATATTTTTAAATATAAAAATAAAAGCTAAAAACAAAAAATATTCATAAATACTATAATATTACATAAATAATATTAAAATAACACTTAGAGATAAACACACTTAAAAGCATAAGTGTATGAACTGTAAAGCTGCTTTTAAACCATCTGTATTGTATGAAGTGCTATAAAAACAAGGGTGACTTGTCTTGACATAATTGCTAATATTATACTCACACAAAGATTGCTCTTTCATTAATGAAGAGTTCAACTGCTGATAGGTTGCCAAACACCATGTTGATGATGAGAAAGAAGAACGCTCCAATCCTGCACACACACACACACACACACACAAATTGTAATGAAGAATGGATGGATTGATGGACGGATGCATGGATCTATCAGTACCTGTTCTGCAAGGCTTCAGGAAGAGTTAAAGGCATCTGGTAGTAGATTAGTCCAATCAGCAGAGCACAGAGAATGTTCATTGCCATCTGAGCATATGAGGTCTGAGGATTCCTGACAACGTTCAGCATTGTCCTCCAGCATACCACCC